AGTAGTAGTAGTAGTAATATATATATATATATATATATATATATATATATATATATATATATATATAGTTAACAACACTCTAGACATGAGGAACATTTCACCCACTAGGAAGACATAATTCAACTTTTGGCGCAGCACTTACTGTTAAGTAACGCCTTCAAAAGTTCTAAATACAGAACTTGATTCAGTTAAATCGGAGACTGTTCCTGTTCTGGTCAGGAGAAACAGGTTTTCTTTAGTCGGCTTTGAATAAAGTATGGGTCCTCAGCTGATAGACGCATAAGTGCAGTAGATTAAGAACTGCTGACGGTGTGATGAAACAATATAAACTTATTGCTTTTTTTTCTTTCATGCCATTGTATTTTAATGTGTTATGAGATGCTCCAGGGCTCGAAATTCATTTTTGGGAAAAGGTGTTCTGGTGCTCCCGACCTGAAAAATTGAGTGCACGTTTTTTTTTGGGGGGGTGCACCATGTAAGATAGAAACTAATTATGTTTCATTTCTTAAGAAAAATACTTAACATTGATTTTATTCCTTTTTTGGCATAAAATTTGCTGTATTCTAAAATACATCTAACTTCTTAACGTAAATCGCAAAAATATGCACCCACAGAGAAAAAAAATGGTTTCAAAGCTCCACATTTGGGTACATAAAGGTGCACCCAGTATTTCGAGCCCTGTGCTTCCATATTTATTAATTTTTTCACCATACGGCCACAATTTATTTCTGTGATTCTCTGACATTTTTTAGGGTAAATTCAGTAACTTACAAATCATATCTCCGTGTTGTACCTGTCCTTGGTGCTGAATTCCTGGTTATGCTAATGGATGCTCCTATTTGTTTTATAAGTCAAGAAGCTCGCAATTAAGATTGTGTGGTCAATTTTCAAAGTTTATGAAATTTGGGCAACGTGTCATTCCCTGATCTAGCTGCTATGTTGGGGTGGGATCCTGACGTGTAATAGGATCATGGTGTTTTGAAACCATACATGTAGGAGTTCTTCTGTTGTAACAGTTATACCAACGAAAAATAAGTCCAGTGAGTTCTGGGTAAGGTTGGTAGACTAATAAATGGATTATGAACTGCTGATGTTGTAACGTAACATTTACCATCTTTATTCAACATAAGCACTGCCTATAAACATATAAGGACATTTCCTGGATCTATATTTTATTTTATTTTATGAAGATTTACCACATTTGTGGAAGGATTGACATAACAGGTAACTATCACATCTTTAAGATGTTAACCCCGAGAGCAGACTGTAAGGTTTGAATCACTCACACCGGCAAGGTCCGCTACTCTTTGTGTGGTGGTTTCTTTAACGTGCGTGGTGTGTGGATCTCCCCAAACACGGGATCTCCATTTAACGTCTTATCCGAGGGACGTCCCTAACCCAAAGCAATAGCACAAGATGCCTATAAACATATAAGGGCATTTCCTGGATCTATATTTTATTTTATTTTATGAAGATTTACCACATTTGTCGAAGGATTGACATAACAGGTAACTATCACATCTTCAAGATGTTAACCCCGAGAGCAGACTGTAAGGTTTGAATCACTCACACCGGCAAGGTCCGCTACTCTTTGTGTGGTGGTTTCTTTAACGTGCGTGGTGTGTGGATCTCCCCAAACACGGGATCTCCATTTAACGTCTTATCTGAGGGACGTCCCTAACCCAAAGCAATAGCACAAGATGGGTGACACCGGGCAGGATTCGAACCCGGGACCTCTTGCGCCTGAGCCGAATCACGCTACCGCTACGCCACACGACCCTACGCCACTCGACCCCACAACCCTGTCTGCATCTATTTGCCATTTAGAATATGTTGTCCATACCGGCACAGAAATAAAGGAGCCAAATTTGATTATCATCATTTCTTGGGGTTCTTTTTAAAAACCAGAGAGTATATTGCAAATTGAACGAACAGTAAATGGCATTTAGAATTATGATATTTTATAGTTATCCTTGCAGCAAGTGATTCAATAAAGCACATTACAGTAGACGGCCTCCATTGAAAATTAAAACATTCAATCTGTATTATCGATAAACTGTGAATTGGTAAATTTTATGGCGCTTTATTTTGCATTGAAATCATAACACCACTAACCTGTGTTTCATATTTCTACGAAGTTTAACTTTGACAAAAAAAATGGTGTTATGCAGAAAAGGTCTGTTAAAGGAAGCATTGTACATGTAGTTTTCCTCTAAGTTTGTACTAAAATTGTGGACCAGAGACACATTGAAAATAACGCATCAGCACTTACCGGTAAGGAATTCCTTATAAACACATTTACTGTCAGTGACCAGCTGGCTTTAACTGAAAAGGGTCCGGCTCAGTCTCTAAAAGTGCTGTGACAAATTCTACGCTCAGAAAAATAAGTCCAGTCAGTCCTGGGTAAAGTGTGGTAGACTAATGCATAGATTAAGAACTGCTGATCTCACCATAAGCACTGCCTGTAACCATTCAAAGACTTTCCCTGGTCCAATAGCTGTTTGCCAACTGGAGCTGATTTTACCATTTAAAAATTAAATGTTTATACAGCCAGCATACTGCGAAAATTATCGAATAGTAAATACAGAATCATGATGATACTCAGGTATGAAGTGATTTTAAAGTTTGTAGCCAGAATTTTTTTAACAGTTTTTAGATTTTTTTAACTTTCTAAAAAGATGTCTAGCTTTTGAGAGGTCTTTGGTTTCAACATTTCAACCTCCTTGTACTGAAATTCCTTTTCGACACTGTCATTGGCGGCATTTGCTATTTAGAAAAAATAACTCAAACGCACCTGGGAAGAAATCGCTCTGTTATTAAAATGTTTGGAAATTAAAATAGGAAAATGAAAATATACAACATGAACTTAGCATCTGAGTAGACCCAGAGCCAACTATGGTGACTGTTGTGGTTACATAAATGAAGTTATGCTCCTAAAAACCAACCAGAAACTATTTTTAAGCAAAGAGTTTGACTGAAACAGAACATAATTGACAATAAGCACCAGGGCTCTATATGTACATGTACAGGGTCCTCTTGGAAATGAATGTCATAACAAAATGTTCTCTTTTGATGAAATAAATAAATACAGTAGAGGAAATTGAAAAAAAAATTAAAACAAGTACGTATACGTAGTTGCTAGGTGGAGCGTCCCACAGCACGCTTATTTTCCACTCTCCGTACTTTGATTTTAAAAGTTTTTCCTAGACTAAAACCCAGCATCCAACTCCAATCGTTAACATTATTTATGTATGTGTTGTTAACATTATTAGGAACATTACCGATCCCCTCTCCACAGTGGGGAGTACTACCTTAGTACGTACCCTTGGCACCGAATTCTGCTTTTTAAGGTAAAAAGAGACATTTATTATAACATGTTGTTTTCTCTCTTCACAGAGTTATGTGTTAAGAGTTAATCCCAGCATAAAGTAGCCAACACAGCTATCTACGAGTATCAGTAAACAGAACAGATAATCAACAGTTACTGTTACACAAACAACGCTATACAAATGAGGGAAAGACTTTAAGATGTTTTCAGATACCATGCAGGCCGTACCACTGAAATCAAATAAAAGGTACAAACACGATTTATGCAATAATCGCTGTGATGTCGAGTGTTAACGTATTAAAGCAGACAATCAACTGCTACACAACCAATGATATTCAAATATAGTGTGACTTGTTTTCACATAGTACAGCACCATCGAGAGCTGCACACAAACAACGCCAGTCCTCAGCACCTCTTGGCAAAACAAGATATCTGTCTTACTTGTCAGGAAGATCTCGGTAAATTTCAGAGGTAAGCGTTTTCTATACAAGTGAAATAAGAGCAAAACTCTCCTTATTTCCAACTAGAACCTTTATAGAAAAAAAACACATAAATTTTACTTGCGCTAACCTGCGTATGCAGGTGGTATTTCAATAGACCCCTTTCCAATCCCCGGCGCCATTTTTGAATCTCATTAACTCCGCTCTCGCGAGAGCGCGCGGGCGCGTGATCTCACGGGGGAGCGGTAACTCAATATCAGAGCGCACCCTTCACAATGGCGTCCGCAATGGAAAACGATGTTCTGTCAACTTCGGAGGTTAGTTGTACTCTTCTTTGGCGACATCCGCCGATATTTACGCATGCAACGAGTAAACAACATTGTTGTGGACACATGGAGTCGATATCGGGCCGTAACTTTGCAAATTTCTGTTCATTTTTGACAATTTCTGACGGGCTGTTATACAGCGGTGATAACGTAAAACATAGTGCATGTTTACATCACGCCTGCTTGCAGTTTTCCGGGATAATTTTATAAAATCCTCGAAACAAATGCCACTCAAGTGTTCACGTATCGGACTATTACCTTTGTGGGTAAAAATCTGTGGGAATTCGGCGCTTTTGACGGTATTTTTTCGATGCCAACGTATCGGCTTGGGGAGGTTACGCTTACGTGAGTTGGGGAGGGGGGCGCGCTTGTTTTGTTTTGTTTTGGGCAAGGCGGCACCACTTTGCCGGCAATATTTTAAATTTACGCCGGACGAAACCCCACCAAACGTTAGTATATCGGTCTGGGGTCATTTTCGGTAGAATTTTTGAAGAATTTCGCCGGCTTTTTGTGGTATATTTTTGTCGGAGCTAGCTTGGGGAAATACAAGATCAGTGGGGAGGAGGGGGCGTGGCTTCAGGGTTTAGACGTTCTCTTCTTTTTCAGGTCGACACCCCAAGCACAGGATCCGGAAGTGTGCCTGAACTTGAAGACCCTCCTTGTAAGTCATTTGGGTGCCTTGTATTCCTTTATGAATTTTTAATTTTTTTAGAAACTTTTATTTTTTTTATTTAACGTTACTACTATTATTATTATTACATCTACTATTATTTTTTCAAACTTAATATAAACTATACAGTTTTTGTACTTTTATTTATTTTTTAGTTACTATCATTTAAAAATAATTCTATTTACTTGTAACTCTTGTACAGAATACACAGCCATACTTTCATTCTTATATTACAGTCACAGGAAAGTTAATCTTAGGTATTAAAGTCGAAATTTTATTATGTTCTGTTCCAACTCTATTTTATCTTTAGGTCTGGTTTTTGGAGAAAGAATGATAAAAACAAAGGAGGAGCTGGAGTGCCTGCGGGTACAGGACCTGAAAGTTGTTCTCAAATCATATGGGCTTTCACAGAGTGGAAATAAGTCAACATTAGTAACACGGGCCTTTGCCCATCTTGAAAAAATGCAAGTTGGCACTGAAGATGGCAGTGTTCATAGTACCTCAAGTACATCAGATTCTGTTGACGCATCATACGAATCCCTTGAAAGGGAAACAAGGGGCTCTGTCTTCAGGAATGACATGAGACAGCTGCCAACTTTCAACTTTGCTGGGCTCTATGACTATCTTATATGCCAAAAAAAGAAATACCATCACATCGAGATTGCAACTACGTCCTAACAAAAAGTTAAAGGCCTTCCAATACTTTTCAGAGGGGAATGTAAAGAACATCGAAATAGCAAAAAAACATGACACAGTGTTTGTTAGGGCAAAAGTAATCCCTAGTATGAAGAAACAAAAATACAGCCCAATCATCACTTTCACCAACGGACAAGTACAGAGAGCAGCATGCAATTGTCCTGCAGGGTGACTGACAATACATCTATGCAAGCCCGTTGGCTTTTGTTCCACTCCCTTACTCACCTTGATAATCAGGTTAAGTTACTAACTCACCTTATCAGAAAAAAGTTTCAGGATTTCAAGATGATGATCGCCTGTGCACCTCTTCTTTTTCTTGTCACCATTGCATGGACACCTTCCAACACCAAGACAGTACACATGTCGCATTCAGATGAAAGATGTATCTGTGCCAGCCCTGTTGGCTTCACACAGACACTGATGAGACAGCTAACTTATATACAGATTGCATATTAACTTTATTTCATTAAGTTAATTTATTTTGGGGTCTTTGTACTAACAATTATGATACTGTCATTTTATTACTGCAGAACATTGCCTGGATGCCGGGGAAAGTGCAACCACATTGGAGGCCTGCTGTTTGCAATAGAGGCCTTCAATAAATCTGGACTGAAAGAGCACCCCAACCCCCTACCATCGACATCACGGGCCTGCACGTCCAGACTGTCAGAGTGGAATGTTCCACGAAATGACAAGGTTAGCTTTCCTCTTCAAGTCCAATTAATGTTTAGTCTATAACTATTACATATTATTATGACTGTATGTGTTGTTTGGAGTTCTTGATCTATACCAAAGCAAGGCTCAAAAGACTGGGTGCATGTGCACCTTAGTGCAGGTAAAATTGAAGCTGTGTAGGTATTTCTGATGTCTACCTACACGTACACATGTAAGATTCACTAGACCTGAATTTTACTTTTTTGCTTTTTATATCATCATACTAATACACAACTATTCTTTTTTTTCAACAACAGGTCGAACCCAAACCCATAACAGACATCAAACTTGGGAAAATAAGGTATGGGAAAAAAGTAGAACACATCCGGACAAGCCATTACGACCCACGAGCGCCACACCAGAGGCAGGTAGACAGTGATTCCCTTAAAACCCTCAAGGCAAAACTCCGAAAGAGTGGCACAAACTCCATGCTTCTACTTTACGACAGAACAGAAGTCCACACGAGTGAAGTGGTCAGCACAAGTGAAGAAGCTTGCACAAGTGAAGAAGCTCGCACAAGTGAAGAAACCCGCACAAGTGAAGAAACCCGCACAAGTGAAGAAGCCAGCACAAGTGAAGAAGTCCGCACAAGTGAAGAAGCCAGCACAAGTGAAGATGTCCACACGAGTGAAGAGGTCCACATGAGTGAAGAGGTCCACATGAGTGAAGATATCCACACGAGTGAAGAGGTCCACACGAGTGAAGAGATCCACACGAGTGAAGTTGTCCCTGATGCTGAGTATAACTTACCCTTCAATGATTATTACGACATATCAGCAGATGCCTTCACAGAAATGATGGACACATACGTACAGTCGCAGAAAATCACCAAAGCAGACCAAACAGCCACGGAAATATCAACAAGAGGACAATCAAGCAGTACTACATGGAAGGAAGAAAGAAAGAAAAAACTCACCGCCTCTAACTTTGGATCAGCCATATCATGTTCAGTAGAGCCTTCTAACAAGTTAAAGTCGATGTTGTACAATACTTTCTCCACTGCAGCAACCGACTACGGAAACCTCCATGAGGATGCTGCAGTGGAGGAGTATTTAAAAGAGAATCCAGAAGCCACATGTGAAGAAGCAGGACTCATATTATCCCTTGAAAGACCCTGGCTCGGGGCATCTGTGGACAGACTTGTAATCAGCAACGGAGAAATCACAGGAGGCTTAGAGGTCAAGTGTCCACATTCAAAGAAAGGACAAAGCACACACGAAGCAGTGCAGGACAAGAAGTTTTTTCTCACACGGGTAGGCAGCCAGGTACAACTGAAACGGAACCACAAATACTACCACCAAGTACAAGGACAAATCTACTGTTGCACATTAGCTTGGGTCGACTTTGTTGTATATTTTGGGACGGGAAACATCTTCTGCGAAAGAATCACACCAGACATGCAGTGGCAAAGACAGAATTTACCAAAGCTGGATCATTTTTACAAAACAGCCATACTACCAGAACTATTCACACGCAGGGTTAAGAGAGGCATGAAACTGTATGGTATGCATGGCACTGGCCAGTGGAAACCTTATCTGTCTTCAGTGAAAAAAAAGTGAGTGATCTGATCTCGAACCAGTTTAGTTTAATGAAGAGCTTTTTTTTAACGGTGTCGCTCAATACAAGGCCAATTATTTTTGGCCACTTCTAGGAATAGAGCTAGAGGAAATTATGTCATATGATGAAGTTTCATGTCCTGGTGGTTTTGTTCATGTGAATACATTTTAATGAGTATACTATGTGTAAAACATTATCTTTTCTTGTATGACTAAATTATCCCCTCGAAAGTGATAATACAGTGAGAACATTCATTCTGTATGTCATTTGCAAAACCGTTTAATGTTATATACATGTCATTACCATTTGTCAAAAAGAGATACATGTTCTGTTTTGATTTTTAAGTTATGTTTTAATGAGTACATTTTTAAGACGTAAATATTTTGTTAAGGAAAAGAAATAAGACATTTTTATCTTTTGCAAAACGTGATACCAAAACACCTAGATATGTACAACAGGTGAAGTGTCATGTTTTGACTTTTTATACCAGTACTAGTATGTCTACATTTCAATCATGATGTGCACAACAATACCATATCTTAAAGTAATAAGATGTGATTTTCCTTACAGTGAAAATGTAGTAAGAATGTTTGCATATTATTTGCAACACCATTAGTGATATATACATGTTGTCAACTTTTCTCAAAAACATGATTTGAAGGATGCGAATATACACTACATTTTGTATTTATCATCACTTTTAGGTACAGTGCATGTCTACCTGCTGGTATGTGAATAGTATAACATGGAAAGTCAAAGCACTATCAGATTGATCTTGATTTCCCAACAAGCGGTGGTGAGAAGTTACTCAGGTATGCACACACGGTGAATACTTGGTCTGCATGTTGTGTCAGTGTAATGGGCATTACTCCGTCTAGAATATGGTAATTCTTAACTCTCCCAATCGCCCTTTCAACATGAATCCTGACACATGCGATATCTATTGTCTCCTGAACTTCTGATGGAGACAGAGCATCACGTTCACCCTTAAATGGCGGGATATTCAGGCTAACACCTGGTGGCAAAATATCTGTGATCTCAAAGCCACGGTCTGCCATAACATTATCCCCTGGTTCTAACAGGTCTAGTACACCAGAATCTCTGGTTATGGCCTTATCGGAAACTCTGCCTGACCATAGCTTTGAGACAAAAGTTATCATACCATTCGGACTGATTCCTACCAGTGCCTTCCATGTGTTGTGATGCTTGTAGTTTGACCATGTCTGGGACTGTGCAAGCATAGCAGATGGAACTTCAATGAAAATCTCTGTACAGTCAATGATTATTCTAGTTGTAGGGTACTTAGAGAACTCTAAAGGCATGTTTGCTCTGACAGCAGATTGTGATGGAAATGGGAACAGCATTGGGAGTTCATAATAAAGAAAGTTTACCCAAGTGCCTACAATACGAGAGACTGTGCTTTCTGACAAACCAAACCTGATGGCAAGATCTTTGTGAAACAGTCCAACTTTCAGTCTAACTAATACAAGGAAGAACTCGTCTAGTAGACTGCACTTTCTCTTGGGTCCTGGTCTACATCTACCTGGCCTCTGATGTGGCTTAGAATCAGACACAGTGCTACTACTTCTCCTGTACTGGAGATTAATGGCTTTGGGAGCAAGGTATTCGTACACAGCCAGAAAATCATCAAAACATTGAAATCCTGTGTAAAATCTTATGGCATCATTGTCTTCTTTAAATGTCAGAGGAGAAAAGAGCTTAAATTCCTTAATCTGCTCCTTTAAGTTAGTAACTAATTTCTTTAGACCAATGCACTCCTTCTGAACCGACATAAGTTTCTTTTCCAACTGCATGACATATTCCTTGTAGGACTCTAAAGTCTTTGAGTCATCTTTTACAAATGTATAATCATGGTCAGGTACATAAGTTGAATCACTCCCGGTCTGGGTTGAAGTCGAAACAAGTGTCCTGGATGTTTGTGTAGAAACGCTCACTTGCACAGGTTTTGGGGATGTCACAATCTCTGAAGCTGTGTCTGGAGTTGTTGCGGTGCTGTCATCAGGGGCCAATGTATCTGTGTCCATGCAGTCATCAGGGTCTGGACCAGAACCACTGGCTACGTCCATGGTGGGGGCACTAGTATCAGGTTCAGGTACATCACTCTGTAACCAAGGAAGAAATCTTATGTTGAATCGTACAAATTTTGAACACACAAAATTATGTACTATGTACAGTTTTTACCTATGGATCACACTATTGCATTAAAATTCTTTTAATAACAGTCATACAGAAGTTTCAACTTAGATTACATATAAATATATATGTGTGTGTGGTCAATATATACATATGTATTACACTTACCCTGTTATTAAGTCCAGGTGATCCTTTGGTCTTTGGAGGAGGGCAATGTCGCACTTTTGGTGTTGGCCTCTCTGGTTTGACAGTTGTCCAGGAATGAATCACTGGTGCTGCACCTAACAGTAACGTATGCAATAATGAATATTTTATTACAAATGACTGCTTGAATTATATACCATTTGGTGCAAAATGCAGGCATAGTATGACTCACAAAATTTAATATTACATCATGGCCATCACACAATTTACACATAAGGGGGCATTGAAAAATAAATTTAACTTTACCTTCTCTGAGCCTTGGAACCTGAAGCTGAACTCCTGTTCTTGACAGCCTGATGATGTCAGACTCTTTGAAATGTTTTTCACAGAATACAGTGTTCTTGTTCATTGTAAAATTGTCTTTTCCGAGCTGCCTTTTCACTAAACAAGCCCAGTGCTTCAGTGACTTGTTGTCATTGAGCACTTTTTGGGGGATCTTAAAAAACGAGATGTTGGTTGGCACTTTCTCGCCCTTATAACACTTGAACTGGCGGCTATTACATCCATAGGCTTTGCAGAATTTCCCTCCTGAAGTGAATTTTTTTCTGGGTAGCGAATTGTCGATCTGAAAAAAAAGCAAAGACAAAACGTTAAGGATAAACATAACAAAGACACGCCCACTCACCACTCACCACAGCTTATCTTGGCATACACAAAAATCGCACAAGAAGCCGCCGTAATTGTCCAAAATTTCTACACAGAAGGAAGCCCGGCTGACGTATTCACTTTTTTGTTCGGTTTTATCCGGCGAAAATGGGAAAATACATCGTTGGTGAAGTAATTAGGCCTCGTTCAAACCACGCCCCCCTCCCCAAATTCCCCTACGTGAAACCTCCCCAAGCCGATACGTCGGTATCGCTAAAATTGCGGACAAAACTGCCAAAATTCTTATAGATTTCTTTCTACAACGACCCACGTCCGGTACGTCTACGATTTTGTGGGGTTCCTTCCAGTTTGAGCCAAAATTATCCCGGAAAACTGCAAGCAGGCGTGATGTAAACATGCACTATGTTTTACGTTATCACAGCTGTACTACAGCCCGTCAGAAATTGTCAAAAATGAACAGAAATTTGCAAAGTTACGGCCCGATATCGACTCCATGTGTCCACAACAATGTTGTTTACTCGTTGCATGCGTAAATATCGGCGGATGTCGCCAAAGAAGAGTACAACTAACCTCCGAAGTTGACAGAACATCGTTTTCCATTGCGGACGCCATTGTGAAGGGTGCGCTCTGATATTGAGTTACCGCTCCCCCGTGAGATCACGCGCCCGCGCGCCAATTAGCGCTCTCGCGAGAGCGGAGTTAATGAGATTCAAAAATGGCGCCGGGGATTGGAAAGGGGTCTATTCAATTCTTGGGGTGATAAATTTATTTAGCACTAAAAAATGGTTAACTTGTCTTTTTTTTTCAAAATAACTTTTGTTTTGAGTACACATAACAGGACTTGTAATTGCTACTCATTTCAATATCTACAAAAGAACACACGTATCAAGTACATATTTTAAATATTAGGGCTCAATGTTTACCAGAACATTCTACCAATCTTTAGTTTCTAATAGAACAAGATGAAGAAGTCGACAATTTTCTCAACATTTATTTGTGTGGTCGTAAGGGCATTCCCAACCATACAAAGTTTTGGACCACTGCTTAAGCTTCGGTCCCAATTGTGCCGATGCCCGTAGAGGTTGTAGCCCCGATTGGGCTCTGGGGTCTGCCGAGCACAGGCTGTCGTGTTCACAATTAAAAGTTGCCTTCACGCTGCCCAGCAGGGGTCCCAGGGGGTCTCTCATTGGTCGGCCTCCGGCAGGTACCCGACAGATGCTTGCATCTGACATTGTCTTGTAGTGACCCATGTGGAGTCCTACAGGGTAACGCGAGCTTCTCACATCCCGGTGGGGCAGTTGTAGGGTCCCTGCCGCATACCCACGAACGACGGCCAGGCATTATGAAGACTATTGGTGGGCACTCCTCATACTTCGGGTTAATATAAACAAACGCTGATCGGATCACGGCGGTTTGTCACTACGGCATTCTTTCCCATTGCTAGGCGCGTTCCAAAAAGTATCGGGTTACAAAACGCTATTTTGGCCTGTTTTGGACTACCCGTAAAATATTTGAAAATAAACAAATAGTATTTAGTGGTAAGTTTCGTCAAATTGAAATGAAAGTATCGTCTTAACATCCTTTTAATGTTAGCTTTTTATTAAATCACTGATTTTGTTAAATTTTGCTCAGAAATACGATTATTTTCGGGTTTCCGAGCACACGTTATGTCATGTTTTTAGGCATACCTCGTTCAAACCTGGCTTCGTGTATTACCCCAGATCCCCGATCTTTGTATTTTTCGACGACTAGGAATAAGATCAAAAATCGTGTTTTAGGGATTTTTTAATTTCTGATTTTATAGTTTTTGTCAACATATTGGTGAAAAAATGACATTTTTTTGACATTTTTCTCACTAAAATACCCATATTTCAAAATTTTTGAAAAATCCCTAAAACACGATTTTCGGGACAACCGTTACGGTCATTTTGAGCCGTAAATGGGGTATGTTTGACTCTCCATGTTTCAGGTTTGAACGAGTTTTGCAGACATGTCACATCACCCGCATTGTGTTATTCATACAGGTGTAAAGAATCATTACAGTATTCAAGGTCACCCAAGGATACGACAGTAGCTTCGCTATATGTTACATGTCCAAAAAAAATGATAGCGGACATGTACTGTCCAGGAAACTGTTTGTATCTATGGAAAAGTGTTGTTTTTTATCTGTTGCAAGGCACTCAGGCAGAAGGGTTTGTTTTGCCGCTTTATGTTAAATGACCGCAGGTGACCCCGAAATGGAACACGGGTTCGATTCGAATTGCCCAGATCGAACACGATCGAACACTGTTCGGATTCTATGAAATGTGGGAACTTTGCAGCCCAGATTTTACCACCGTGGATCATTTACATTCACTTAGTACTTTTCCATGAGAGGACTGCACGTGTTTACAGACAACAATCACCTACGGAGAAGATGAAGACGTAACAAATTAGTCCCGGCGGACTGTCGGCCACTGGAGGGGTATCTCTATGTGTTTTACGGCTCGGTCACAGCGTCTTTATGTCAGCGGGGCTCCGGTAGAATTTAAGTCAGAGTTAAATTCTTCTCGAGTCCCGCACGGGCCAGAAAATAGCACGGTAGCCACAGGGGACCACGTAGAAGTCACGCCTGAAATTGCAAAAAAAAAAAAACAGCCCGGAAACTACCCACCAGAGCCCCTTTTTCCAAACGGGACCAAAGCTTTACTAGTTGCCTTGGCAGAGGCCGTTTTCTGAAATTGCGGACTTTTGTTTTAAGGCATTGGATTTATACAAACTAGACCATCTAAGGCCCTCTTTAACTCTTAATTATTTTAACATTTTGTTAACACTAACATATTGTCAGCCAAAGTTTAAAAAAAAAGTTCTGGTCGAAATGACTTTGTAAGGAGATGCAGAAGATGGATCAAGATGGTTTTTGTAAAATTATAATATTAAAAAAAAAACTTTGACATTTCAGTGATCGATAGCTAGTTAAAACTAAACTTTTTATAGAACCGTTATCTATTAGACCTTTGTATATTCCATGTCGAAACAGATGTTTGGATTGTCAACGGGACGGACCACTGTAACTTCGAGACTAAAACATTGATTCCATTATTATTCTTCTCCTGCCATTTGGTGAAATGGATTAAACTCAACATTTTTCGATGTTTTCTGGGTCTTTGAACGTCTTTAAAATAATTTAAATCTAAATCAGAATAAACAAGGACATCCTTGTCATAAAACCTCCAAATTGTGGATGAGTGTGCAGAATGGACGATTTTGTATCGGCTTCTCGCTATCACAGATGTCATTTCTAAGGAATCAGCAAACTAGATATGATAAGGGTAGCATATTTGTATTAATGGGTTTATACATACCAATCCATCAACAGGAATATTAGTTATATTAGGTGCCATCAAAATCAAAACACAAGCAGGATGTTCCTCAATAGGTCAAGGACTATTATGTCTGTTTTCTATCAAGTAGCGAGTACCATACTAGGGAGTAGGGACCTAACATAATCATTGTAATGTCTTATAAGATCAATCCACATACGCTATATCATTAAGACTAATTAAGGTGCATTAAGATACACACACTGCTTCTCTGGGTATGCTGTTCACAAGAACACACACACAGTAAGACACCCGGTCCCGAAAATAACAGAACGACGCGTTGGTACGACAACAACAAATTCATTTTTACAACATATGAATATGTTGAGTGAACAGTATGAAGTAGTCAAGACATTCCACTTTGGGGGTTTGACAAAATGACCAAACAACTGTAACCAATGGTGTACACACCCATGCAATAAACTCTGTGAAATGTCTGGAGTTAACATGACAGCAGACAATCAACTCTTTTACAACAAATGACATGCAAATTGGTGTGGGACGTCAAGCTGTTTTTTTTCACATACCATACTGGGATATAGTACCATACACGGAGAGCGGCACACAAACAACAGCTTTCCTTGCGATTTACAGCTGGCAAAACAAGATATTCTGTCTTGCTTTTCAGGATAATCTTAATAAATTAAAGAGGTAAGCCTAGCCTTTTTTACCATCAAGACAAGCATCAAACACTATTATAGAAGAAACGTTAGAACAGAAACATAAATGTCGGGCTTAAGATTGAAACAAGTACGTTTTCTTGACCATGTAAAGAATTAGGCCACACACTCCTGGTAGATTTCATCATGTTTCTTTTTTTTTTCCTTACAAATGATGGAATGGAAACATTTTTGCAGACTGGAAAAGCGAGAGCACTTCTACAGATATCAGATAAATGCTTGGAGGAAATAAATTAGGGCAATTTGATGGGTATTTGACATCATTAATGACGAAATTCTACTGGATTAACTAAAACGTTATGGTTTTCATGAAGCTATTAGATATGCTACTGGTTGGATCAAAAGTAACTTTACAAATAATACACAATGTTTTCGCCAAACATCTTTGTTCATTGATAAAATACGTTTATTGCTATTTTCAGAGATTATTCATTACTTCGTGAAGGAGGTATCCCTCATGTATGAGTATTATGTTCAATTGATTTTTCGCGTACGCAACTAAAACACGTTCCATTTGTTAAATCGGCTGTAATTTCATACGTCGTTTGCAGGCATGCCCGTGATAATGTGCGTTTTTTTTTACCGTAGCTGTTTTCGTGGTCAATGTATTATCTCATAAGCACCCCTACATTTTAGAGGCATTTGGGTCGTTTTGAATAGGGAGGGGCTTGATTCCTTCAGGCAGATATGAAGGTAGGTGGTTAATTGAAAACAGCTGTGTCGTCGCCTATAAGGTAAGGAGGCTGTTTTGAAATGTGTTTGCATTAAAACGTCATGGTTCTCTTCGTTGTATTTCTACATGCATGTAAGTGGGCTCGGGCTGTGCCATTATGTCCTATTGATGCACTTTTTAACTTTCCACCGCAGCAGTTTTTATATTGAAGCAAACGTTTGTCGTTCAAATTTTTTCGCCGATGGGTGCACAAGCTTGTACGTTGCGATTGAACCACCGGTAGGCTGGCGCAGTCCATGTACAGGTCTGGCGGGTACCGTCGACGTGCAAAAAATAAAACTTCGCGGAGAATTGTCATCTATGATTACGTGTTTTAGTGTTATTTTCTCTTCAAATATACATTAAATTGTACTCGTTACAACGTGTTAAAAGGTTAGACATCCTGGTAATGAGATTATAAAGGAAACCAACTTATGGGGACAGGTTTCAACACTTTGAAGATTGCGCCGGTGGCCGTAGGGGATGTAGCCTTATTGCGCCGGTGGCTGTCGGGGATGTAGCACCGCGGCCGGTCCCGGTCGGGCTCAGGAGTCGGGCGGGCATCAGCTGTCGTGGTCACAATTAAAAGTGGCCTTCACGCTGCCCTTCAGGGGTTCCAGAGGCTCCCTCATTGGTCGGCCTCAGGCAGGTACCCGACAGATGCTTGTAGTGACCCATGTGGAGTCCGACAGGGTAACGCGAGCTTTCCACATCCTGGTGGGGCAGTTGTAGGGTCCCGGCCGCATGCCCACGAACGACGGCCACACATTCCTCATACTTCGGGTTAATATAAACAAACGCTGATCATTTACATCCACTTAGTACTTTTCCATGAGAGGACTGCACGTGTTTACAGACAACAATCACCTACGGAGAAGATGCAGGCAGAACTTAAGACGTA